CTATCACCCAATACATTGTCGACACGTGTCCACCCGGCACATGGGGTAAATATTCTCCTGAAGCTCAGTCAGAGATCCTCACGCGCGTCTGCTATGCACGCGTCTGGGCCTGTGTCGGTCAACTTGCTCGATCATTCAGCTTGTTCGATCACTCATCTGATCGAATGATGGGTAGCTTGACCAGTCTGGTCGAGCATCGGGCTGCTCGATCGCCTGTGCAGTCAAGCCTTGGATTGTTCGATCGCTTGTGTGGTCGAGCCTTGGGCTGCTCGATCACGTGGATTCCCGCCTTTCGGCTTGGTTTACTCCCGGTCCGCTCTTCTCAACCGGCTCACCAAATCGGTTCGTCTTTATACAAATAATATCCTATATCAATGTCCAGTATATAATAAGTATATGTCACAAATTAAAATTTTATGTCCAGTGAAGCTCCCAAAAGTTGAAAATTTATGTACTCATTCATAATCCATTCACCACTATAATGTATGAAAATCAGTGGCGTCTCCATCTACAAAAAATTAAATCATACACGGTTAATAAACAAAATAAATAAATAAATAAATAAATAAATAATGCTATGAAAAAAAAAAAATCATCACAAAACCGGAAGTATACAATCAATATACATATAAAAACAATACATGATGCGAATACAAAATAAACAAATATACCATATATATTTTTTATTTTTTTATTGAAAATTCTAGAATCCTACGCAGGCGCAATTTAAGGGACGATTAATCTCATGTATTCGTAACTAATATTATCTCTTTCACAAATAAATATAATTCATTACGTAAGGATGCAAATAAAATTTCACTCTTCACACAAGTGCAAATACTTTAAAATCATGTGGTATATAGAAAATTACGCCAAATAATTGTATTCTATATGAGAAAAATAAACTTTTATTGGACGATAGTGACTCGATAAAATAAAGACAAATGTTTTAGGCTAATTTACACACATACCAGGCTCTAAGGCAAATAATTGCAGATATACGGCTTTCAAAAAATATTAGCATAAACACCGGATTGATGATAATTAATTATATGTATACCTTTTGTTTGCAACAAAAAAACGCTCCACAACTAAAATATTGGACATGATTTGTAATTAAATAGGAGCATTAAAATGTCAACCCGTTATATAAGGAATGGGGATATATCCAAACATAATCCATATTGCTTGTTTTTTTATTTTTTTTTTTATTTTTTTTTGAAAGAATCCTTATTGCTTGTTAAAAAAGCGTTCAACACAAATTTTTATTTTATAAATTTTTATTTTATACTTTTTGTTTTATCTTTGATCATTCCTTAAATAGGTTTTTCAGATGTTTAATGGTTTATGTATCCTTTTTTAATGGTATATATATCATTTTTTAATGGTACATATATCATTTTTTTTTAATGTTGCTCATTTTAGAATATACCGAAAATATACTGAACATATACAGATTATAAATCTTTAACTGCATAATACCGAAAATATAGTGACTATAAATCCTACTCTGACTATAACATTTTTAACTATTAGATACTGTCGAACTTCTTCCCGTTAATGTCCTAAGAAAAAACAAATGGAAACAGTAAAATATGACTAATAATATACTGAAAATAAACAATAAAGTTTTTGTTGAATAATCAAACAAGAAAAAAATACAAAGTCTCGACTCATAAACTAGAAATAAACTGAACATAAATCATGATGTATATCATTGACAAGCAATAAACAAAATAAACAAATAAGCAATTCTCATTTCTGCCAAAAAAACTAACAATATACTAAAAAAATCAATTCTGTCAATAAAAAAATTTGCTAATATACTAAACATAAACTACACATAAACATAAAATAAACATTAAAACAATTCGATTGAAACTCTTCAAATGTCGTCCCTGCTCACAAGCGAGTTGTCGTCGCGTACTGAGCCTCCGCCTTCCCGAGACGAGCCCACGCAGCCACTCGTCTTCGATTCAAGCGAACCACTGCTGGTCGAAAG